AAGGCTTCATATAGTGCTATCATAGTTGGCTGTGAGGATAAATTGCTATGCTTTTGGGTAGTAATCTTCATGCAGTGGTGTAGGATTTCTTACCACACCAGTTTGCAAGTACCTTCTTGTTTCCTTACTTTTTTCCCCATTCAATCCTACTATTTTCCCATTTTTAATGTTTTTTATTTACTTGTTTCCATTCTTTTTTCTTAAATCAAGAAATTACATTCTGTTATGATTCTGTGGTTAGGTTAATTATATTCATGTTAATCACGTGCGCATAAATTAAAATGGCGTCAAACCACAAACCCACGCGGTGGCTGCAGCTGGATTTTGTCTTCCATTTTGTTCTCTGTCCTCGCTTCTTTTAGAAACTACCTTTGTGGTCCTTGACCCAAGCCCAGAGGAATGATGTAAAAGTCACCTTGAGCTGTTCTCTTGTTTAAGAGATTATCCGGTGTATAGAAGAAAGATGAAAGAAGAAGAAGAAGAAAAAGTCTGAAGAATTTTGTAGAAATTTGAATTTGGGCCTGTTTTCCAGAAATGCTCCCGCTACATTACAGTTCACTTTAAAGGTACCAGGAGAATCGCTCAGTGAAGGAGAGCTCATTTAAGCCATTTATAAGGCTGTACAACGTAAGATAAAAGAGTTATGAGTGTTTGAAAATCATAAAAACGGACGCCATCTTGAAAAATCGACCTCAATCCTACATATAGGCTACCGCCTATATAATAAGCACTCACTACATAGTTTCACATTACATGTATGTGTATGTGATAGTGTGTGCTTAACATACTGTATTTGCCTGATTAGAAGCCCAGCGTCTATTCATTAACAGTGGAGAAAATAGTGTTAAAAAGAAAAAATTGCCAAAATGGGGGATTGAACCCCTGTTCAGACTGTGCTTCAAGAGTTAAGCTATTTGGACAATCTAAAGTTGAGGCTACCTAAATTGGCTATAATATGTGCATCTATAGTGAGAATATTTTAAAGATGGGTGTTTATTTAAGCTGGGCTTCTAATCAGGCAAATACAGTACACTCATTTCACCTAGCAAAATTAAAATTGTCTAGCTTGTTGTACATCTAGCTTGTTGTATAGACAGACAACAGTGGTACCTAGTCCTCGCCTACGCAAAGCTGGGCGAGGCCAATAAAGTATTATGTTGAAATTATCATTCTTTTTTTATTCAGCCTCAGGTGCTGCTGGTATTGAGACCAATAGTCAGTTCCCTATAGTACCTGATCATTCTGATGATAAAAGCAATGAGAGTGGGAACAACACTGATACGAATCATCCTGAATCAGAGATGCCACAGAAAATTGAAGGTAAAATGTGTGTTTGTGATTATTTAATAAAAAAATAAAAGTACCAATACACTATACATGTATTATACATGCAAGTGAATGTTGTTTATATTATATACTTAATATAGAGCCAGGGGTTAAACCAACTACAAATGATTCCTCCTTACAGATCAGTGAGTCCAATGATGATCAACAGAAAGGTATAAGCAACTGTCACAGTCACATACCATATACTGGTTTATTTCCGTGGTAGAAAATTTTCATGAATCTTGCATTTCTAAGATTTTGCAGAATTATCTTTTGTGTATAGCTTACGGCAGACTGCATCACGTGGCAATGGAAATGCAGAATTTTGTGGTGAAAAATGTTGCGACGGAGCAAGAAACCAGAAAATTTGCAAAAATATTTCACTACGAAAATAAACCGGTATATGGTATTTACATGACTATATCAGCAATTAACCTTATAAAAATAGGATGCATGTATTCTGGTTAGTAGGCTCACCCCAATAATTGTAGAGTATGAATGATAATAGGTGACTGTTTTTATGTCTATACTTATACAGAGCCAACAACACCAAAGGACAAAACTTACCCACCAACTCAGACCACCAGTGAGTCCAATGATGATCAACATAAAGGTATAAGCACTCACTGTCACTAGTTTCATATTACATGTATGTGTATGTGATAGTGTGTGCTTAATGTACACTCACTTCACTTAGCAAAATTACAGTTGTCTAGCTTGTTGTAATGTACATATTCTTTCACATATGAGTTGGTTTTGTAGTTTAGTGATACATGTAATAGAAAATGCCATAGACTATACATGTATTATACATGCAAGTGGATGTTGTTTCATATTATATACTTAATATAGAGCCAGGAATTCAAGAGGTCAAACCAACTACAATTGATTCCCCCACACAGATCAGTGAGTCCAATGATGATCAACAGAAAGGTACATTGTATAAGCAGTCACTGGCAGTATAATACATGTAGCTTCACATCATTTACATGTATGTACAGCTATTTGCAAACTGCCAAGTAGGTGGTAATGTGACCACACAATCTAAGAAACACCTCAATTTAGATAGTTCCCTTTGAAGTTCATAGAGTGGTTTATGAATTGGTTTGCAAGGTCTGTGCAATTTGATGTACTTGTAATAGTTACAATGACTATCAGCAATTACAACCTTATTCAAATACTTAGAATACCAATGCATCTTGCATACATGTGCATGTACAAACAGAAAGATACTCATCCTGCTGAATTGTGGAGTATCAATAATATTATGACTGATTTCATGTTTATACTTATACAGAGCCAACAACTCCAAAGCGGGACAAAAGTTACTCACCAACTGAAACCAGTGAGCCCAATGATGATCAACAGAAAGGTATAAGTACTCACTGTCACTAGTTTCATATTACATGTATGTGTATGTGATAGTGTGTGCTTAACATACTACATTTGCCTAATTAGAAGCCCGGGCGTCTATTCATTAACAGTGGAAAAAAATAGCGTTAAAAGAAAAAAAGTTGCCAAAATGGGGGATCGAACCCAAGAGTTAAGCTATTTGGAACAATCTAAAGTTGAAGCTACCTAAATTGGCTATAATATGCGCATCTATAGTGAGAATATTTTAAAG